TTTATATGCAGAAAGGCCTTTAATCTGTTCTGATGAGAAATTTGATTTGCCTTTTAAAAGGTACAGTCAGACATTTAACAAATTTTTACAAAAATATGTCTTGAACAAATTTTCCAGGAAAAAGATTATTTCATTTGATGCTATAATGACTAATCCTACCACCTAGGTAAAGCAAGCAAGCTTTCACATGGGAGATTGTTTATAACTTCGAATTATGTATGAATATTGCAGACTGGTGAGATCTAACCGTCACGGGATTTATTTAGATAACACAAATCTGTAGCAATGTGTCTGTTTCTTTTGAATACCTTATATTCATCCTGCAAATTCAGAAGAATAATTTGTAGCAAATATGACAGTTTTTAAGTATTGGGTCAAACATATCAAATTACAATGAAAAACTAGGCTTTAATGAAAAGTTGGCTAAAGATTTTAAGAACAGCCACCCCTCAGAATCTACTGGGGTTTGGTTACATGATTTTCTTGGATACCAAAACAAAATCCTTGAATGCCTAAGTCTTTCTGTAAAATGATGTAGAGTTTACTCTATATATAACCTCTTGAAGACATTTTTGTCTTTTTTGTTTGTTTGTTTGTTTTTGAGACAGAATCTGGCCACACAGCCTAGGTGAACCTTACACTGACCACGTAACTCACTCTGGTCTTGAACTCTCAGTTCAAGTCCTCCTGCTTCAGTGTTCTGAATGCTGGTCTTACAGAAGTGTGCCACCATGCTCTTTATAGACTTTAAATGGTTTCTCGATCACTAATCATAACCTAGTTCAATGTAAATGCTGTGTGACTAGTAATTTTCTGTTTTGTTTGGGGAATAATGAGAAGAAAATAAGGTGTATAAGTTTGGTATTTGATTCAGTTCCCCCTTCCCCCGAATGTTTTCTATCAGAGGATATAGGACCCGGGAGCCAGCTGTGCAGGCAGATGTGTATCGTCTTCCATTATGAAAATAGAATGGTTGCTGACCGTGACACAGAGGCTAAGCCACTTTGACAGAACCTGAAGATTAAGGAGTTAGATATCATTACCATAGTTATTACAGATTCCCACCTTCTGTTACAGCGCTGGAAACTCTTTCAAAGGAATTTAAATAGCAGAAATATAAAAAGCTCCAACTTCTTCATGGGCCATTCATTACTTAAGCATAGTTTTGTTTTATAAAATAAGATGAAATTTACTTACCTTGAAAAACTACCTTATTGGTCAGTATTTTACTGTTTCAACACTTGTTAGTATTTAGTAACTGAGTCTCAAATTATATTCCTTATGATTTTCATTTTGAATGAAGAAGTTTCATCATCTCTGTTATCTCCTTCCTCGAGGTACCATTTGTTCAGAAGATCAAAGAGACGGGAAAACAAACATCAGCTTCTAATTTCCACACACGCTGTCCATCACCTCAAGCATCTCCCCGTAAAATGTTGGAGAGGCATTTTGTTATGAGATAAAGCCTGTATATATCACTTTAGATTTGAGATGGTTTTCTGATTATTTGGATCATTTGTTTTCTTAAAAAATGATCTAAATTCCTTTATATAATTAATGTGCCCACTCAGAGACCAGGAGGAGGGCTTTCTCTCTTCTTCCCTGGCTAGTTTGTCTTTGTCTTGTTCATACTCAGGGGTGAGTTGCTTTTGCCTCCTGCTGTCTCAAGTCTTTTCATCTTTCAGTCTTCACGTCACAGCCTACACTTCAACTCTTAGAACCTCCCTTTTTGCCTCTCTCTTACTATGTTAATAACACAGAAAAGCTACATTACATATCATTGATGCACTTCTTAAAGTCTTTATTACTTTTAAGACTGTCACTGTAAATGCAGATTAAACATTTCTGCATCCATTTGCAAATTCATAACATTCTTACACATTTTTATAGCTGATAATTACTTGAACTGGAAACCTAGTATACAAGTGCATGCATTTAAAAAAGTGTCTGTGAAAACTAACCTGGAATGTAGGCTGGGCTACCCTGGTCCTCAAGGAGTTAATAAATCTGGCTTTCACTTGCTTAGCTCCCCAAAGGTAATTTGGCACATTTCCAAGGCCAAACCCCTATAGTAAAGGTCAAGGTGCAGCGGGTGTTGCTGAAGTGCAGGATCCCAGTGTCTTGGCACAGCGTGTACAGCTCAGTGGCCTCTGCTCTGCTGGCTTCAGAGCATGGCTAAGAGACTTGAAGAGGCCCTGTGAAAGTGCCCTACAATGGGGAGTTGTATGAGTGAGTACAGTGGGTGAGTCTTTGGTGTTTCTTGCTTTTTAGCATCCATGTTTTGTTTGTCCACACTCTTAGAGCAAAGTTCCGTCTTATGTTTGTGGAAGCGATCAGGGATTCCAGCGGTTAGTGACATTTGCTCTTATAGTTGTGTTCACAGTAGCTGATCCCCAGCACCAAGGTAGAAAAGCAGCCTTGGCAAGCCTACAGCTACAACCAGAACTCTGGATGGAGCACATTTGGCCTAAACAGTGATCTCCAAGTTCAGAAAAGATAGAATGGAGAGCAGTAGAAAAAACCAGCTGACGTCAGCCTCTGGCCTCCCTAGACGCCTGCACAAGCGAGGGCGTGTACACACACCTGTGTGCAGTATGTAAATAAACTAACTTCAAGAAAGGAAAAGAACCAAGAGGAAGTTCAGAGCTTGTTTGACATTGAATCCAGGACCTAGAGAGTGCTAGAAAATCACTCGCCTACAAGGTGTCCTCAGCCCTTTTAAACTTCCGTTATTCTGAGACAGTCTTGCTCAGTTGCTCCGGCTAGCCTTGTGTCACACTGGAGCCCAGACAGGCCTTGAATTGGAATACTTTTGTTCTAGTCTCAGAAATAACTGAGATTACAGACCTGCACCACCAAACAGAGGGGGCAGCCAGTCCAAGAGCTTTCCTCTGCCTCCCCAGTGCTGGGGTTACAGGCACAGGCCACCTGCGTCCAGCTTTTCATGAGTTCTGGGGATCTGAATGCATGGCCTTTCCTTGCACAGTAAGTACTTTACCAACCGAGTAGACTCTCCAGCCCCTAAGCGTCTGTAAGGGATTTTTATTTGTGTGTCATTAGGACATACATCAACTGCAGACAAGGGAGTAATCTGAAGGAATGTCTTCCTACCATTCTTTATTATAAAAATTACAAACGTGTCAGTATAGCAATATGAGACTTGAAATCTGCTGGCTACACGGCTTCAGAAGTGCTCTTTCTAAGCCAGCAGAGCCAGGGGTCCCTCTTTATATCAGCAGTGTGCACTGAACTGGAAGTTCCATTATGGGCTCTAGCTCCTGGGGACAGGAGAGCCGGGAACGAATTTCTCCAGCAGCAGTCAGCAGGGCAGTCTGTGCAAAAATGCTGCCTCTCCTCAATGGGCTGGCTGCCTTAGTCATCAGTGCAGAAACAAGGCCTTCCACACAAAACTGGTTTCTCGTGACATGGACAGCGTGAGGAGGCAGTAACAAGGGAGCTCAGCTTCCATGGCTCAGTAAAGACAAAGTGAAGTGACACTTCCAAGACACTCTCAGGCGCCACTTCACGTCAAGCCTGGATATTACCGAGTAGTTATGCACATACTTAAAGAGAAAGAGAATATTCTCTGCTAGGCCGAAGTTAATAGAAGCGACTTCTGATTTCAAGGCAGCACATATAAAGTGACTAGAAAATATCCCTCCTTCGAGAGGAAAAATGTTAACGCTTCCACACTGTGCTTCTGCAGTCGGGTTATTAGTTCCCTAGAAGGACAGCCAGTATGGCCAGTCAATGAACTCCAGGCTCAGCGAGAAACTCTGGCTCAAGGAAGAGAAGTAATTGAGGACCCTCAGTGGCATCCTTTTTCCCGGACGCACACACCCATACGTGTAGCACTCCCCTCAAAAGTTCCTATCCTGTGTCTCTTGCCCATAAAGACGTCAGGGAGGATATGGTAAAGGGATGATAGTCTCAGAGTGCTTCTCAGACCCTGAGGCCTTCAAAGACACCTGATCTGAGTGTATCTCATTGGCCAGCCATTTTCTGCTCCAGCAATTGGTGACCATCTGAGCCCCTTGGACTGCATGGCCACTTAGGTAGGGTGTGGGGAGAGGGAAGAGTCAGCCAAAAGTAAGCGAGCTGGCAGTGGCTGAAAAGAAAACGACTGGTCTTTCACTGCGTTGTGACCAGCAGGATGCTTCAGAATCATTTTCATTAATGAGATTCAAGCTTTCTTCTCCATTTGACTTCCCTCCTGAACCCATGTAGATGAGAACTGATGCTTTTGTCTGCCTGGCGTTAACTTACCAAAAACAGTTACACCCTTATTTGCACGGTATAATCACAATTTTATTCCTAATTCTTTCTACATAGCTCAGTAAATACTTTAACATAGCAAATGCTATGTAGTAAGTAAAGTAAATAAACTGCGGCGTTTGCTATAGTAGTAGAGTACTATTAAGTAATATAGTAAATATAGTAAATATACCAGCTGATTTCCTGAATTCCTGAGTGTTTTTCTCTTTAACCAGTTAAGGATTCTTATTACTATTGTTACCTCTTCTCTTAAAAAAATAGATTTAGTATTTATTTAGACTTTCATGTATGAAAGTCTGAGACTTTTCATTTAAGAAAATCTCAGACTTCCATCTAATTGTTCTAGTCCTTGCTTGTTAGTTCTCTAGCTCTATTTGAGGGTACCCTACCTCCACTAGTATATGAATCAAGGTCAAGCGTCAAAATACTTGGTCTCTGCTCTGCCAGCCGATGACCCACTGTTATGGTTGTAGGGTTGTTTATTCACATCAATGGGAAATGCGTCTCCCATAAATCTCATTTTTTTAATTTCTTATTTATTATTTTTTCTAGTTAGTTCTAGCTATCCTGGAACTAGCTCTGGCCTAGAACTCACAGTGACCTACCTGACTCTACCTCCCAAGTGCTGGGATTAAATGTGTGCGCCACCATCCTCTACCCTATAAATGCAAATTTTAACAGAACTTTTGAACTCTAATTTGATGAGCTGTCTGATTTCGTTTCAGTCGCGTGACCCACGAAGTGGCAGAGGAATTTTCTCCTCAGGATCCCAAACCTCTGGCTGTGAAGCAAGATGGCACTTCTGTCACACCAGCTTCGCCCCCGCCTGACCTGGAGAGGGAAGAAGAAAAAGATGACACTGCGGATCCCATAGATCTGAACTCCTGCAGCGCAACATATAGCAACCTAGGTAAGTGGAAATATTATATAGACAGTATTTGTACTTGCCTTTCTGTGTGCTGGCTACATGTTATATTTCCCTGGAGGATCAAAACTTGTACCATTGGCGCTATAAATTTACATTTACTTCGAAAAATAATGTTCGAGTTTTCACGAGCCTTATTTTAAATGCCTGCTACCATGAGCATGTGCTAGAGATGCTGATGTGGGCCCTGCCTTGAAGGGAAAGAAAGGAACTTGAATTCAGTATAATATGATAAATACAATTGTGCAAACACGCATGGAATATTTTTGGTGTTACACAAAGAAGGGTGTCAAGAGAAATCATTCCTGAGCTGACTTAATTTGTCAGAGGGCAGAAAGAATGTTCCAAACAGGCAATAAGTGGACAAAACTGTGGAAATACAGAATGGCCTGGTGCCACAGCCATTCAAAGTCCGGCAATGTGGAGCGTTAGGTACGCTGTATTTCAGGTTAAAATCTCAGACCTTTTGTTATATGTGATGGTGACCCAGCAAAGGGCTTCAAGAAGACAGATGACGTTTATAATTTAAAACGGGTACACATAGGCTATGGTATTTGGTAACAGGTACTCTAACTGCAGGATGACATAAGAGGATGAGAAAAAAGGTAGCCTCAGTTAAGGTAGGGAGAGAGGACAGTGGACACATCGGAGGGGTATTTTAGGTAGGATAAGGTGAGGAGCAGAATCTGACTAGAAGAATGAGCACTGCCATTGGAGGCATTGCAGAGGCAAAGAGCTGTGCCACAGGCCTCCTATAGTGGAGAGTGTGCAAGGGGGGTTACACAGAATTGCTTCAGAATTGTTATAAAACTCCCTCAGTTCTCTTTCCTCACGGTCTCTCTGGAATTCCCAGTGACTTCTGAATTTTCTCCCTCCCTTGAGTTTCTTCCCTTCTGAAAAGGAAAGCCTGGAGCAGAATAAGTTTTCTGGGGTTCTGTTTTTGTTTTTGTGCCTATGTCCTGTGGGTAAGAAGAGGTGAGCAGATGGACCGTCTGCAGTGTAGTGTGCCCGTTGGATTCTAATGGACCGCTCACCCTGGTTGGAAACCACTGGAGTTTGTCTCTCAAGGACCTTGTTTCTCATCCCTCTTCCTTTTCCTCCATTGTATTGTTTTAAGAGAAAAGGATACCAGTATCAGCTAGTATACTTGAAAACTGAAAATGATAGGTTTCTTAATTAACAAGTCCAAAAGATTGAAGTGATACATAGGAGAAATGCTCTAATCTCCTCTTGGGAGACTCAGTCAGAACAGCCCTCAAGTAGTTGAAAGTATATTCTACACGGAAAAGACTTCTGACTTCAGTTCCAGTAGATATATTGTTGAGTGGCTTTTCAGACTTTTCTCATTCTTTTATATTTCAGGAGTACATGTTAAGATGAAGTTTTTACTTACTTTGTGCTCTAAAATAGCATATCAGGAATTACATATTGAAGATATTTTTGCTATTCCAAAATTTCTCTTATGACAGCCTCAGTATACTGTATCACTTTAGGAATTGATAGCATACAGCATCACTTCTTAAAGTTTTCCATTACCAAATGGGTGTGGTGGCTGACACCATAACCCAGCACTTGGGGGCCTCAGCCAGGAGAACTGTGACTTTGAGACTAACCTGGGCTTTATAAGACTGTCTCAAAAAGAGAAAGGAAGAGTGAGGCATGGTGGCACATGCCTTAATCCCAGCACTTGGTAAATAGAGGTGGAAGATTCGGACTTCAGTATCATCCTCAGATACAGGGTAGAGTAAGCTTGAGACCAGGCTGCTCTGCATGAGACCCTACCACAAAACAACAACAACAAAAATCTCATTTTTTAAAAGATTTTATTTTATTTGCATTGCTGTTTTGTCTACATTCATGCCTATGTAAGGGTGTCAGATCCCCTGGAACTATAGTTACAAATAGTTGTGAACTGCCATGTGGGTGTTCGGAATTGAACCCAGGTCCCCTAGAAGAACAGCCAGTGCTTTTAACCAATGAGCCACTATCCCTCCAGCCCCTTTATTTCAAACACACACACACACACACACACACACACACACACCAACTTTAAGTTTTATTATTTTCCCCCATTGTTAGACGAGGAAAGGAAGGCAGGGGAGGTTGGACCAAGTTAGAGCCCAGAGAGCTGTAGGTACTCATGACTCTAATACCCTCAGTCATTAAATTCTTGTAAAGCTCTGGAGGGCTGGGACTTAAGTTGGGTTTTTTTTTTCTTTTCTTTTCTTTTTTTAAAGCAGGATTTCTCTGTGTAGCCCTGGCTGTCCTGGAATTCACTCTTTAGACCAAGCTGACCTCAAACGCAGAGTCTACCTGCCTCTGCCACTAGGATTACAGGTGTGCGGCACTCACTGCCTGGCAAGGCTGGGACTTTTGAGTCATCAACTTTCAGATGCAAAATTTAAGACTTTAAAAAATTACAGTTGCCTAGAGTCTAAAAATTCAAGATGTCCTGTGAGAAAGATTGCTTTCCGTTGAGTTTAGCTCAGCGGCCGAGCTCTTGCCTAGAATCATAAGGCCCTGGTTCAATGCCCAGCACTAGGAGGAGGAGGAAAACGGATGAATTTCTTTCCTTTGTCATAGGATATGATGCCTATGTTATCCAGTCTTCCTTTGGGATTTTTGTTGTTCTTATTTTTATTTAAAAAAAGAAAAAGAAAAGAAAAAACTTGCAAGTAAAAAACATTACACACCAAAACTAACCAGACCCAACTCTAATAATCTCATTGGACTTAGCACAGTCATTCTGAAGCCATCGAGCTTCTGGTGGGTTTTATACTTTAACTATCAAATATACTTTTATGCACTTATCAAATACTGAAAAGTGAAAAATCCAAAACCAAGTTAGAACTAGAAAAATAACTAGCTTTCACCCTTCTTTAAGTGCTTAAGTGACTGTGCTTGTCTTTGTATGGTTTGATACTTGCTTAATTTTTCTGCCTTGGAAGAGTAATAGTTAAGGTTGGTTCAGTCAGTTCTAGATGCTGAGGATTTGGGTTCATTGCTCCTTCCCTGGTGTAACAAGTATGTAGGTGGCATTTGGAGCTCTTTTTGTTTTTAAAGACATTCAGCAAATCATCTCCTTGCAGTTTTAAACTGCCCCTGTGGGTAATTTTTTGTGATTTAAAGCTCCAGTAACTTTTTATTTTTAATGGTACCATTGAGTTGGACGTGGTGACCCACACCAGTAATCCTGACACTTGGGGGATAGACAGGAGATTAGTAATTCAAGGCCAGACTGGGAAACATGGGAAACATCTTACAAACAAATCCAGGAAGGGGAGCAGGGAAGATAGCTAAGTGGGCAAGAGCACTGGCTGTGCAAACGTTGACCCTACTTTAAATCCCCAGTACCCACATAACAAACCAAATTGGGCAACACATGCCTGTCACCCCAGATCTTTTTTTAAAAAAAAATTCTCATTTCACATACCAATCCCAGTTCCCACTCCCTCCCCTCTTCCCAATCCCCCCTTCTTCCCTGCACCCCACCCCTCATCCACTCCTAAGAGAGGGTAAGGCTTCCCAAGGGGAGTCAACAAAGTCTGACACATCACTTTGAGGCAGGACAAAGGCCCTCCCCACTATATCTAGGCTAAGCAAGGTATCCCTCCAGCGAGAATGGGCTTCAAAAAAGCCAGTTCAGGCACTAGAGATAAATCCTGGTCTCACTGTCAGTGGCCGCACAGACTGCCCCAGCCTCACAATTTGTCACCCACATTCAGAGGGCCTAGTTTCCCCTACTAGCTCAAGTCAGGTGTTTCAGTGGGTGTCCCCGTCATGGTCTTGACCCCTTTGCTCGTATTATTGCTCCTCCCTCTCTTTAACTGAAGTCTGAGTGTTCGGCCCAGTGCTTAGCTGTATATCTCTGCATCTGCTCCCATCAGTTGCTGGAAGAAGATTCCATGATGTCAATTAAGGTAGTCATCTATCTGATTACAGGGGAAGGCCAGTTCAGGCACCCTGTCCACTATTGCTTAGGGTCTTAGCTGGAGTCATCCTTGTGGATTCCGGGGAATATCTCTAGTGCCAGGTTTCTTGTTAGCTCCATAATGGCTCCCTTAATCAAGATATCTCTTCCCTTGCCCTTCCTCTCTGCCCTTCCGGTTCCCTCGTGGTGTTCTCCTCTCTCCCTCTCCTGTTCCTCCTCCCCTTCCACCACCACCCCCCAATACTCCCAATTTTTCTAGGTGATCTTGTCTATTTTCTAGGGGGATCCATGTATGTCTCTCTTAGGGTTCTTGTTACCTAGCTTCTCTGGGGTCATGACCTATAGGCTCTTTATGTCTAATATCTACTTATGAGTGAGTACATATTGTGTTTGTCTTTCTGTGTCTGGGATACTTCACTTAGGATGTCTTTTTCTAACTCCATCCATTTGCATGCAAATTTCAAGATGTCATTGTTTTTGTTTTTGTTTTACTGCTGAGTAGTACTCCATTGTGTAAATGTGCCATATTTTCTTTATCCATTCTTCAGTTGAGAGACATCTAGATTGCTTCCAGGTTCTGGCTATTATTAATAATGCTGCTATGACCACAGTTGAGCAAATGTCCTTGTGGTGTGAGTGTGCATCCTTTGGGTATATGCCCAAGAGTGATATTGCTGGGTCTTGAGATGGATTGAATCCCAATTTTCTGAGAAACTGCCAAACTGATTTCCAAGTACAAGTTTGCACTTAACTCAAACAAATCAGTAGCCCTACTATATACAAATGCTAAGAGGGCTGAGAAAGACCTCAGAGAAATATCACTCTTTAAAATAGCCACAAATAACATGAACTATCTGGGGTAACACTAACCAAAGACCTGTATGACAAGAACTTTAAGTCTTTGAATAAAGAAATTGCGGAAGATGGAGAATGGAAAGATCTCCCATGCTCTTGGATAGGTAGGACCAACATAATAAAAATGGCAATCTTACCAAAAGCGATCTACAGATTCAATGCATTGCCCATCGAAATCCCAACACAATTCTTCACAGAC